TCTTGAATGCAAATAAAACCAAAATCATTCACGTTCACTCAAACTATATAAAACACAACACGGATTTTAAGGTAGTTGCTCACAGTCACAGATGTCTGCACAAATTAATTTCATCTAGGGCTTGTAAATGTGAGGCAATCGAACAAGTAACGCATCACACTTACTTAGGATTAATTGTAGATAATAGATTTAGCTGGAGATTTCACATAGATTCTGTCTGTGACAAATTACGAGCTATATTGGCTAAATTCTACATTTTAAAACCTAAAGTACCATATAATATCCTACTCAATATGTATAAAGCCTTAGCTGAGTCAATTATATCATACGGAATTTCAAGTAATGGACGAACCTTTAAGTCATATACCGAAAAAATATATAAACTACAACTAAGATTACTTAAACTTATTGTACCTCAAAAAATAAAACAACAATATAAAGATAACTTATTAGACATTTTCAAATACTGCAATATATTACCCATGCAGATGAAATTTCACATGACCCTCTTAATTGAACAATTTAAAAATAAAATCATCCAAGTGCCCATATCCCATAAAGTAATTACAAGAAATATTACCAAACAAAAATTAAATGTGCCTAGGATCTCAAATTACTATGGTAGGCAAACAATAGAATTTTTAATTCTAACTCTTTTGAATAACATCACGCAAAACATCCAAAAAGAATTAAACACAAAAAACTATAAAGAAAAACTCAAAAAATACTATTACGATAATATAAAGAACTTTGTCTTCTAAAATGAATCAGAATTATAGTTATTATTTAGTTACTTATTAGTGAAACAACCTGTATATAATTAGTAGAATGCACTGTCTAGTCTAGTAGAACAGGTTCCACAACGCTCAATTCCGGAACGTCCCAAGTAAAAATTGCAAATGGGTGCTTACCACTTACACAATAAAGGAGGTATACTTTAATGTATATTTTTGATTACTGTTGAGATTAACTAATTATTTAATGTTAAGCAGTGCGGTAGTTGCGAATGTGAGTACCAATACAAAACATTTTTGGTTTAATGGTATAAATAAAAAAATATATATGAACACTTTAATCAATAAATAAAAATAAAAAACATAATTATTCACGTACAGTGAGGTACTCACACGACCGGGCGCATGATTGTCTGCAGTTGAGGTGTGTGGTGCGGGATGGGAGCAGCGACTGATACGAAAAGAACAGCCTCGAAATTCGGTCGAGGAGCATATAATTATCGACTCGGTTAATATTTTTGTCTTGATTCAGTTTTACAGTTACACTGAGCATAGATTGTTATAAATACTGATTATAGAGTCTATAGAAAATTTACGGAACTATACCTCATACATCGATGCCTTACAGCCATAAAGGGATAACGTCACTTTATAAAATTAACTGGAGAGCGATATAAAGTTAAAATAAATATATATAAATTCTCTCATAGCTCAAGAAACTTAGTTATAATTTTATAATTTTTAATTGTTTTCTACTAAATGACATTATTTAAACACAAATCTCTTTATTTAGATTTGGGAATAAATAATTATGATTTTACTAACGTGAAGAAAGTTTTTAATGTATACTACTATTTATTTGAATACCAGCTTAAATGGTGAAATTGCTAAAATCACTTCATTTTAATTATTATTAAAGAAAAATAGTAAAGTGTTAGTTTTGGGTACATCAGTTAGGGGCAAAACGTTATAACTGGTTATTGATTAAGGGCAGAGAGGCAAGAAAAAACTGTAATAAATAAATAATTTTTGGAAAAAACAAATCAGTCTTTAAGAAAATATTAAAAACGTACGTAAAAAGTCCATTCCAATGTGCTATACATAACCAGTTTTCTGCTTCGGGGCTGCGTTATGAATTTCCAAGAATTTTTATTGTAAAACATTGACCATGATAACTTGTTTGTAATTAGTAGTTACGTCATCCTTTAATTTTTAAGCAAGAATACAAGTATTTAATGTACCATAAATAAGTGGCGTAGTGTGTGATGCAGACGTCAAAATTAAATAATTGTTAACTGAAAATACAAACAATTGTTACATCGTAAATACACGAAAAAAATAAAACAACATAACAGCAGAAAAAGAAAACATCATTACATATTCTAATTATCTTCGAGAAAACTTCGGTAAACAGTAAGTTTATGCATGACCCAAGTATTTAATTATGTATATAGTTATTTAAAAGAATATGTTTCTAATTTTGCAATCACTGAAATAAAATGAAATAATATTTATTATTACTGTAGAAACTTTGCGGTCATTGATTTTTTTTGTGATAAAGTGCTAAATCGATTTTAAATATTATATTACACTCAGATTTTTTTTTGGACATATAACTAACGATAATGCGCCAACAGTGCCTTTTACGACACTTTACAACTGTGTTTTTAGCATGCTATGCAAGTTAGTTTTACGACATACTGGGGTACTTACCTAGCATGTCAAAAAAGGCGACTGATGGGATACTGCGATTGTGATAATCCATCACAATTTTAAACTATTGATAAATAGTTATTCCACATCTGTTCTTAGAAATATATGAGGAGATGTGACAAAAAACAGCCTCTCTGCTACAGGTCTTTCCCACGAATTTCGTCGCACATTTTTCAGTTGTTCTGCATCAAAATGCCCATAACAATAGTACCATAATCAAGATATTCAATCCTAACTAACCCTTGACTATCCAGGGAAAGAGAGCTTATGATCTTACCGTCGGTAGGACTCGCCTTGAATTTATTAGGATTTCATGGCAATGGTCTTGTTGGGCCACACTGTTTGTAATGTACTTCGCCGAGCATGTATTATAAAACTTTTGTGGAAGTCGTTCCCGGCACTGTTCACCAGTTGTTCTCTATCATGCTCCACTTATCGCACTTATGTAACGTACCATTATCACGTCATTACTACTGACCAAAAGGAAGTTTCTAAGTCATGAACTGTAATTTTGTTTCGGGATTTCGAGATCGTAATAGAGAAACTACGTTATAAATCGAGCCAAAAAACGATCAGAATATTTTTGTAACAGTTTTCAAAAGCCTCGGGAAATATTTTATCAAAATTTTTCCTGCGCATCGGTAAACATTCTGAGTACCTTACGCGCGGAAACTTTTTACTATGCGCTCGTGTACAATGTTATGCACACTACTGTTAACATTTTCAATTCACCAATGGAATGTACCATGACACGCCGATCTGCCACTTTTTTACTATTTCTTTGATTCCTGCTGTCGTAGGGTGTCCCGAGCAAGTATCGTCTTTTGTCCTCGTTATAATTTCACGAGTCAATGTGCAAATGTGGAATAACGAAGCATTTATTTATACGTGGTAGAGCCATGCTGCAGCTATGCTATATTTTTGTTGTAGCACGAATGGGTCGACTTGACCGGGGAAGAACCAAGCTCTCATAGAATACTAACGTAAAATAGCAAATTTATGATGCTGTTTTTTGTATGTTATTTTTAATTGGAAAGAGGCATTCCATCTTAGTCCTCAGGGGTAACATAGCAGCTACATTCTTATACTTAACTTTTTTTTTTATAGGAGAGGGGGCAAACGAGCATGCGGCTCACCTGATGGTAAGTGACTACCGCCGCCCATGAACAACCGCAACACCAGGGGAATTGCAGATGCGTTGCCGGCCTTTTAAAAAGGAGTAGGCTCTTTTCTTGAAGGTAGAAGGATAATAGACAGTTTTTATTTATGTATGGGTTTATATATTATTTTGTTCTATAGTTTTTAATTTAATTAACATTTTCATATCTAAATCACATCTTCCATCCCGGCTAAAAGCACTCCCCAAGTATACAATTTCATTTACTTGTTCTAGACATTCCTGATTTAACCATATTTCACACTTCGTTCTCTCTTCGTCCCTTTCAAATACCAGAACCTTAGTTTTATTAGCGTTCAAACGGAGACCTTTAATTTCACATTCCTCTTTCATACACGTGACTAATACCTGCAGTTCTGCCTCTGATGGTGCAATAAGCACTGCATCATTAGCATACAGCAGGCGTGTCGCTGCCGGGAACAAAGTCAATGGTGCCCTGACTGCGTTAGTTAAAAGGCAAGGCGTAGTGAAGAGTGCACGCCTTGCAATACATAACGCAGTGTTGGTACCGACTTTGTTATATGGCAGCGAAACCTGGGTATGCCAGAAGAAGCATAAAAGCAAGTTGAATGCAGTTGAGATGCGATCTCTTCGTAAAATGTGCGGCGTTACCATAGCCGACCGAAAGCGAAACGAAGAGATTCGCAATATGGCAGGTTTGAAAGATGACCTTATCACAAAATTTGATAAGGGCGTGCTTCGATGGTTTGGGCACGTTGAGCGAATGAGTGAACACCGTATGGTGAAGAAAATATATAGCGCGAAAGTTAATATTAAAAGGTGTCCAGGTAGACCGAGACTAACTTTCGAAGACCATGTGAGCAAATTGCTCGAAGAGGGTAGGGTCAAGAGTACTCGGATACCTAGACGTGCATGTATGAAGAAGATAATGAATCTGAAAGAAGCGAAAGAGGTATGTAAGGATCGTGACACTTGGCGATCTGTTCTCTCTGGCTACCCCGTCAGGGATTGTGCGTGAAGATAAGTAAGTAAGTAAGTAACATTTTCATCTTTACTTATACACCTAACTTATAGAATTACCTCATTTTATCTCTGCTTCACCCAAACGTTGGCTGGTGGTTTATTTAACTATAAACTATAATATATTATTATTGTTAGTTTATTTATCAAACATTTTTCCTGTTTTTTAAAAGTAAGGAAAGAATAATAGTCTACATACATGCGCCTATCTGTTGGACAATTTTAAAAGGGATTAACACAGGGAAATGCCTATCGCGTTGCCCAAAGGCAAGCTTCATGTCTTTGAAATACTTTTAAATTTTTTTATACATGGAGCGTTTCTTAATGAGGTATATATTCAAATTAATATTCATATTAGAGTGTTATAAATCACAAATATTTTAGGTTTGATCGAAATGCTGACTTTAGCTTTATTTTGTATAACATTCGCGCTGTATTGGACATGGTGGCATCGAAACAAAAAGTCTAAACTGGAACCGCCCGCTTATCCAGGAGCATTGCCGCTAATCGGGCATGCACATCTTCTGATGGGAGGTAGTATTTGTAAGTATACACTTTTTTCTAGATGAATCCCTTTATCCTCGACGTCTAGTTGTCGAAAGTGGTTTCGAATATGTATAAGGAGTTAATTTAACTTTTCCCAGGCGCTAAAATAGACCAGTTTAGAGCCGGAATAACACTTTTCAGTAGCTGGTGAACAATGAGCTCATTTGTTCTGTATTGTTATAAAAAATTCTTGCTACAATTTAAATGTTAATGTGGTAGAGCCACGCTGCGGCTATAAATACTAGCTGCAGCACGGATGGGTTGGATATGCCAAGACTAAGTTTTTTCAGAATACCAGCGTGACACTGTAGAATAGTGTGCTGTGTTTTGTATGTTGAGTGAAGAGAATCGGAGACCTTTACTGGAAAAAAGTTATTTCATCTTAGTCCTCAGGGGTGACAACCTATCTAAATTTTGATTCTTATTCATTGAGATGTAGGCGACTAAAAGCCATAGCATCCACTTACCATTATGTGAACTGTGTGCTTGTTTGTCACCCTATTCTATAAAAAAAATCTAAATCTAAAAAGATATCTTCCGCCTCCTTATCATTTTAAAAGTTATTTATTGCTGGACATAGGTAACTCTCATAAAAGGATGTGGTGTATTCGCCATGCCTGTTAAGTCAATAATGGTCGCGAATGCGATATAACCTTACGATCTATTTCCGTCACTTGTTTAGGAATTTTATAGTATTATAAGTGAGATTCACTCTAGTACATAAAACACCTGGGTGTGGCTGTATTGTGAACACGACCGTTAGTTTTAGTTATTTTTTGGGACGATGGGGATATGGGACGATGAGAGCACTTGGTTTATGCTAAAACATCTAAAATGGCATACCGGAGTACAATGTTAACTTACTGGCGTTGGTTAGATCCTGGTTCAGCACATAAATAATGCCCTAAACGAAAACTTACGCATAGAAAAGTGATGGTCACGGTGGTAAAGCATCGGTGTGATACATCAACAAGAGCTTATGGAGGGATTATTTATTTAAGAGTTATATATACAGACGATACTATTACCACTTACCTTATTGCTACAAAAAGTCGTGTAGCACCGGTAAAGCCTCTTTCACTTCAACGACTAGTTGTGTGGTGCGCTACTCTTATCAAATTTTCTAAAACAAATGAGTGAAGCTACTCGAGTACCGATTTATGCCTGGACGGATATGACTGATTAAAAAATTATTATTAACTCCAATCTCAAGAAATAAAATAAATTACTCTTAGAATGATGTTCATGCTTTAACCTTTTTGGAAAAATTAATAATTTAAATGAATTGCTAAGGACTTTAAGTTATTGTAAAAGAATTTTAATTGATAAAAACCGAAACATAAGTGATGTCTTATAGTCTATTTCTACAGAAGGATGAAATCTTGCCCTAGAAATTGGTGTAAGATTTACTCAAGAAAAAGATTTTACTAAGGAAATTACATATCTTAGAGGAAGAAACCGTATAAGTAGCAAGAGTCCAATAAATTCTTTAAACCCTTTCCTCGATAGTCTTTCAGGTTGGGTGGTAGAAAATAAGAAATATCCAATGATATTTAGTCACAAATATAACTTGGCTATATTGATTGTACGCGATGCTCATAAAAAATCCTACATGACAGTGTTCAACTAACCATGAACTATGTAATGTTTTGCTTCTGAATAGTAAGAGTTAAGTCATTGATAACATCTACCATTCATAAGTGTCTTATTTGTGCCAAACAACGAGGTATTACTTACCAGAAGTAAGAGTTACACCGTCGCGGCTATTCTCACAGGCGCATTATATATGGGAGTCGATTTTGCTGGTCTGCTGCAAATTTTTACGACAGAGGTCGAGAAATAAAAACTAGTTATATAAGTACCAACATACTTAGGGGCCTTCAAACATTTGTAGCAAGAAGAGATAAATGTAATCATATTTGCAGTGACCAGGAGACAAATTTTGTAGGAGCTAACAGGGAGGTAAAGGATCTGTGGCAACAGGTAAGACTAGAAATTCCAGGATCTTTATCAGACATGCTCGCAGAAGATGGCACACAATGGCACTTCAATCCACCATTCAGTCCAAATTTTGGTGGCCTTTGGGAGGCAAACGTGAAGTCCATTAAATACCACTTAAAGAAGATTTTAAATAGCCACCTTACATTTCAAGAGATGTCAACTACTCTATGTCAAATAAAAGCCTGTTTGAACTCTAGAACTTTGGACATACTCACTCCAGGACATTTTTATCAGTAAGGCTCCAATTGACATTCCAGAATCTCAGTTAAGGCAAATTTAAGTATCGAGGTATTTAGGTATAGATTATCACATTGGCAGTATACACAGACATTATTACAGAATTTTCGGTATAGATAGCAGAATTAATATTTGTCTAAGCTACAACAAACATCTAAATGGCTAAAACAAATTCAAGCGTTTAAAATTGGCGACATTGTACTTATTAAGGAATCAAGCATAAAAGCATCCTTGACCAGATAATATACGTCGTGTCTATAGTTTAAAATGTAAAGATAAAATTGTTAAAAGCTCTGTTGCTCAGTTATGTTTGCTTCCAATTAATGGTTATGATTAATATTTGTAACAAAGGTTCCTAGTATTTACGATAAATAATTTTAATGTTTAAAACAGAATGATGGTGTTAGTTAGTTAGTTATGTCTCATGAGTAAAAATCTATTCATAATACTATGATATGAAAATTACCAAATTGCATCATTATTTAATTTACTTGGCGTTGTTTTTACTTTCATTTGCAATTTATATTTATATCATTATTCTTTTATTAGTTGATGTGTGTTTAAAAAACCCGAGGGCTTTGGTGGGCCTGTATATTGTATTTATAATTATGCATATATACATTTTCTATATGGCCGGCCATACAGCTCAAAGAGCCGACAACCGATGGGGAAAAAGGTTCTCGAGTGACAGTTTTGTACCGGTAGGCGAAGTTTAGGGCGACCCCTTACTAGATGTAGTGACGCATTGGTTATACACGCAGGAAGTTGATGGATGCAGGTGTCTCAGGACCGTGTTTTGTGACATTCCTTGGGGGAGGCCTATGTTCAGCACTGGACTTGTGAAGGGCTGTGATGATGATGATGAAGATGATAGTGGAAATGAATTTATATGCGTCGTGTAAAGTATGACTGTAATGAATTAGTTTGCAATAAACACTCCTCAGTACAAGACGTTATTTTCTTTTAAAGGTCCATAGTGAATACAAAATAAAAGCCAAACACATTGACAGTTAGGGTAGACCGGATCGCACCAATATCTTAGAGTAGGGATATCCCCATGGATACCTCCCACGGGGCAAATAAAATATTATAATTATAAATTATAAATTAAAGTTTATGATTACGAAAATATTATGATTATGAGTACACATCAGTGTATAGCAGTGGTCGTTAAGCGCGTCTAACCCCATTAATTGCTGCTCCAGTACCCTCTTAGTGCTATCAGGATGTCTCGAGACCACTTTAGTGTTATTTCTTTTTTTAAGTTATATTAGTCAGCGTTTAGGGGCCCGTAACCTATTCACTCCAACCCAACCCCAGAAGCCCTATTTCTAGAAAGAAAACACCATCATCAGTGGAAGAGCCACAAAATATGCCTTGGCGACGTCATCTCCGAGCGGGGTCTGCCCTCCTCCGATCCCACTCAGCAGCCTTCTTTTGAACCATGACGGACTTACGAAGGAAGATGGTTACGGCCTTGCACGTCAAGTCTCCGCCCAGCATCGGTGACACGACTGCTTTCAGGGTTAGGTTGTAACCGATAAGGTTGACCAGGATTGTCCACTCCCCTTAGCACCTAGGTATACCGTAAATTAGGGCTTAAACTAAGGGAAATTATAGGCAAAATCTAAGCATACTTTAATCGGAAGGATTGTTCATTTAAAAAGTTTTTTTTTATTCGTTTCACAGCTCTTTGGAATACTATAAAAAAAATGTCACATAATAGCATAAAAATGGGTGGTGTAATAACAGTGTCAGTTGGACCTCGGATCGTATATAGTATTGTCTTTATTATGAGGTATTCTGTATTTCTTATAAAGTATTGAGTCCTCAAATATTTTAACCCTTAATTATTTTCCAGTCGTAACAGATCCCGAAGACAGCTTGACTGTCGCTAACGCTTGTTTAGAAAAGGACATTATATATAAATTTGGTAAACCATGGCTAGGTGAGGGTCTATTAACCGGTAAAGGTACGTATAATTTTAATCTGAATATACGATAATTATTCGTTTACAATGAAAGGAAATATTTAATTAAAAATTGTGATGTAGGATATTTTTTTATGTGACAGCGAATAAGTAGTTGTATATTACATTTGCTAAATATGTTTGCACAGTATCAATATGGAAGCGCCATCGAAAACTGATAAACCCAGCTTTTAGTCAGCTGGTGTTGGATGGATTTCAGGGGGTTTTTAACAGCCAGTCCAGACGTCTTGTTAAAGATTTAGAAGTGGAGGTAATATAAAATTATTAATATTATCTTATTATATTAATAAAGTCTTCATAGAGGCACTTGGTAGATATACGTGACCTTAAAAATGGGCAAACATCAGACGAATACAGGTGGGCAAAGAAGTTCTCAATTCTCTTCTTCTTCAAATCCATATTGAATAAAAATCATTCTATTCTATTCTATTCTATTCTTTTCTTTAAATTTGACTACTGGAAATATAAGGAGGTAAGGTTTAGCATAAAAGTGACGCGGTATTTCTGTTTTATCGATATAGGTCTATACTCAGAACAATTTCCATTAAGAGAAGTTAAATATAAAGACCCGATAGCTATGTGTAAGAATGGAACTATTCCAACTATTACAAAAATTTGTTTGTAGTAGAAAACGAAATTTTTTAGAGAGAGCTAATAATGACGACTAGGAAGCCGCACTTGCTGCAACAAGAGCGTCTTAAATACGCCGTCAACCTAGTGTGATGACGCATTATTATTAATAAATTACAATTTAATTTCAATAAAGACTCACTTAAAAATATCATAGATATAATATTTTGCATAATTAAAATGCATTAATAGGCATAAAGTTAAAATGTATTCATCAAATATTAATCATCAAAAATTAATTAGGGGGTCATTGTAGAAGCGTGCTCGTCGCGACCCCTGCCAGCCCTTTTCAGGGCTGCAATTCTACTTAGCTGCGCACCCATGCCAACGAGAGTTAGGGCGTCCCCCCAAGGCGACGCACACCAACTCGTCCCCGTTGGTGTGGAATGCAGCGCGCAAAGCGGCGATGGGGACCGCCACCCGTCACGCACAGCCCGACACGGCGGAAGGTGGAGGACAGAGTGCAGAGTTGGTACGTGGAATGTTAGAGGAGGCATGCGAGATAAGACGAATGAGTTGATCGAAATAATGAAAGAAAGAGAATTAGATGTCGTGTGTATGTCGGAGACCAAACGGAAGGGCAGTGGTACTGAAGAGCTCCCTGGCGGGGCGTTAGCTCTATGGTCCGGAGTCCCGGAGAGCGAGAACGCCTGCCAGGGAGTGGGGGTGCTGCTGTCTTCTCGGTTGGTCGATGTTATGACTGAATATAAGGTTGTGAACTCAAGACTTCTCTGGGTTCGCTTTAAATTGGGACTGACGAAGTTATTCCTTTTGGCTGTTTATGCACCGGTAGCTTCGTCGTCCAGGGCTGAGCTGGAGGAGTTTTGGGAGAATGTAAGAGAAGTTCTAGATTTGGCTAGGGGAAACGAAAGAATTGTTGTATGTGGTGATTTGAATGGATGGGTTGGTACCGCTCGACCAGGGTACGAGTCGGTACTTGGAAAGTTTGGCGATAAAAGGGTTAATGATGCTGGCAAGCTTATACTGGCGGTGTGCAAGGAAAAGGGTCTTCTTGTGACAAACACTATGTTTAATCACAAGAAAATCCATATGTATACTAGAGAACGAAAGAATGAGAGAAGTATGATTGATTTGTTCCTGGTGGATGACCGACTGCGAAAACAGGTGATGGATACGCGAGTGTTCAGGGGTGCTGACCTGGGAACGGATCACTATCTAGTGATTACTAGATTTAGGGGTCTGTTCGCGGGTTGGCGCTACCGGACGGCAGTAACAGAACCACAGTCGGTCTGTCGCATCCGAAGCTGGAAGCTTCAGGAAGCGGATACTAGGGACAAATATCATGCGAGGGTAGCCGAAAAGCTTGACACCATCGATCGCAGAAACGAATGTGTAGAAAGAACATGGCAGAACCTTAGGGATAGAATGGTAAGTGCAGCGGAAGAAGTGTGTGGAACAATAAAAAGAGGCAGTAGTAAAAGAAGAGATGCATGGTGGAATGATGAAGTGAAAGAAGCTGTAAAGAAGAAGAAGAAAGCATGGTTAGACTACTTGGCCTCTAGTAATGATAAGGATATAAGAGAGAAGATGAAAGAAAGATATAGGCTGCAGAAAGTTCACACGAAAGCACTGATTGAGGAAGTGCGTGAAAGGTGTAGAATGGAAGCAGACGAAAGGTTGTCGCACAACTTCCAAACTCTTCTGGAAAGAGGTTGGAAGGACCCGAAGTGGTGCGACGGCCTTGAGAATGAACAAAGTGCTTTCGAGAACTAATGACGTCCTCTCAGAAAAACCGGACGTCATGCAGCGATGGAGCGAATTTTATAGAGAAATGTATGCGTGTGATGATCTTAGTGAGGGATCCGGGGATGACGCCGTGACTGGTACGCCAGACCCGGACCTCGATGACACTGAGGTCATCAGTATGAAAGAGATTGAACGTGCGATTCGAAGTTTGAAATGTGGTAAAGCTGCGGGACTAGACAGAGTTACTGCTGAAATGGTCAAGTATGGTGGGCCTCGTGTCTGGGACAGCTTTCATCTGCTGTGCAATTTGTGCTGGCGGACGGGGGATGTCCCGGATGATTGGCGATCCGCAGTCATTGTGCCTTTATATAAAGGTAAAGGTTCACATTTTGACTGCGGGTGCTATCGGGCGATCAGCTTGACCAGTTTAGCAAGTAAAGTTTACTCGAAGGTTTTGACACGTAGGATGCAAGAGAAATCGGAAAGATTTCTATGGGAGGCACAATGCGGATTTAGACCTGGAAGAGGATGCACGGATCAAATGTTTTCTCTCCGCATGATCACGGAGAAGCTTCTGGCTGCTAACCAGAAGATTTTCTGTGCTTTTGTGGATCTTGAGAAAGCATTTGATAAGGTTGTAAGGAAGAAAATGTGGGAACTGTTGCCGGGGTATGGTGTGGATGGTCGATTGCTAAGGGCTGTAAAGTCTCTTTACTGTGACTGTAAAGCCTGTGTGCGGGTAGGGCGTGACCTGTCACCCATGTTTAACGTCCAAACGGGCGTAAAGCAGGGTTGTGTCATGTCTTCCTGGCTGTTCATACTGTATCTCGACAGCTGTTTACAGAAGCTGAAAGATAGCTGTTTGGGTGTGAAATTGGGTGACATAAAAGTAAATTGTCTGCTGTATGCTGATGATGCAGTGCTTATTGCACCATCAGAGGCAAAACTGCAGGCATTAGTCACGTGTATGAAAGAGGAATGTGAAATTAAAGGTCTACGTTTGAATGCTAATAAAACTAAGGTTCTGGTATTTGAAAGGGACGAAGAGAGAACGAAGTGTGAAATATGGGTAAATCAGGAATGTCTAGAACAGGTAAATGAAATTGTATACTTGGGGAGTGCTTTTAGCCGGGATGGAAGATGTGATTTAGATGTGGACAGGCGTGTCGCTGCCGGGAACAAAGTCAATGGTGCCCTGACTGCGTTAGTCAAAAGGCAAGGCGTAGCGAAGAGTGCACGCCTTGCAATACATAACGCAGTGTTGGTACCGACTTTGTTATATGGCAGCGAAACCTGGGTATGACAGAAGAAGCATAAAAGTAAGTTGAATGCAGTGGAGATGCGATCTCTTCGTAAAATGTGCGGCGTTACAATGGCCGACCGAAAGCGAAACGAAGAGATTCGCAATATGGCAGGTTTGAAAGATGACCTTATTACAAAAATTGATAAGGGCGTGCTTCGGTGGTTTGGGCACGTTGAGCGAATGAGTGAAGACCGAATGGTGAAGAAAATATATAGCGCGAAAGTTAATATTAAAAGGTGTCGAGGTAGACCGAGACTAACTTTCGAAGACCATGTGAGCAAATTGCTCGAAGAGGGTAGGGTCAAGAGTACTCGGATACCTAGACGTGCATGCATGAAGAAGATAATGAATCTGAAAGAAGCGAAAGAGGTTTGTAAGGATCGTGACACTTGGCGATCTGTTCTCTCTGGCTACCCCGTCAGGGATTGTGCGTGAAGATAAATAAATAAAGAAAAAAATCAAATATTAAGTATTATAGTATAGAAAAGGCTTAATATTGTCTTTAAAAACCTTTAAATTTACCATCGGCATTACTACCAGAACAAACGTGTTCACGGGCCTAAGTCAAGTGGACATCTATTAGTCTATATATATACATTTTTATTGTTATACTAGCTTTTTACCAGCGACATCGCGTGGGAATTTTTTGTATAGGATATGGTGACAAACGAGTACACAGTCCACCTGATGGTAAGTGGTTGCTGTGGTCCACAAACATCAATTGCGAATCAAAATGCAGAAGCGTTGTCACCCGTGACGACTAAGATGGAATGACTCTTTTCCAGTAAAAAGGGTCTCCGGTTCCTTATACTCACCATACGAAACACAGCAGTTTTAAGCAGCTATTTTACGCTCGTATTCTTTGAGCGTAGTCCTTCCTTTGTCGATTTGACCCATTCGTGTTACAACTATACTACTAATATACTCGTTGCCGCAGCATGGCTCTAACAGGTATAAAAATTATATACTTTTAGTTGTTATTAGGTATACTTTTCTCAATATAACTTATATACCATATCGAAATACTTGTAATAACTTGCTAAAAAAACTTAAAATTCCCGTAGACCCATTCGTGCTACAGCTATACTACTAATATAGCTGCAGCATGACTCTACCACGTATTAATGGCTCTACCACGTATTACATGGACTGGACTGTCACAAATTTTTTAATAGTTTGGTTTGTCTGAAAATATGAAAAATATCTTAATATACAACAAACCGTTTTATAAGTCTCATTAAAAGTAAAAAAGTAAAAAGAGGGCTGACCCATGTGCAAAATACCTGTTTTCACTTGTCCACGATTTTTTTAAAAACTACTCAGACATCAAGGTTTCGTCGCCAAGTTACCCGTTTTACTGAGCTCGTGGAAAATGATCAAATTAAATTTCCTTACCTCATTGGTCCTCGCGGGAATAATTCCTGCGCTTTGAAATCTTACAGCGAGCTATACGGCTCTCGTATTTGCATAAATAAAACTTATTATAACTGAAAATAAGCTTTTGCACCATTGTGAACCCTGTCTACCTAGTAATTCATCATATAGAGATGAAAATATTACAGTCCACTTAATTTTCAATTACTTATATCGGATTTGATACAAAAAGAAGT